AGTTATGTTGAGTTATTAATTATATATAGTTATACAGTGCTATATACGATTAAATAGATTTGTATATAGTTATGTAAAGTTATTGATTATATATAATTATATTGGGATATATTCGGTTATAAACATTTATATATATTCATATATTATAACATACGGTTATCTAGATTTATATATAGTTAACTAGAGTTATTGATTATATATAGTTATATAGTGATATATACGGCTATTTAGAATTGTATATAGTGATATAGAGTTATTGATTATATATAGTTATTTAGTGATAAATACGGTTATATAGATTTATATATAGTTATGTTGAGTTATTTATTAGATATAGTTATATAGTGTTATATACGGTTATATAGATTTATATATAGTAATGTGGAGATATTGAATATTTATAGTCATAAAGTGTTATATACTGTTATATAGATTTATATAAAGTTATATAGTGTTATTGATTATAGATAGTGTTATAGCGATATATACGGTTATTTAGATATATATATAGTTATGTAGAATTATTTAATGTCTTGTTATATGGTGATTTATACGACTATATAGATTTATATATAGTTATGTAGAGTTTTTTAATATATCTAGTTATATAGTGATATATTAGACTAAATGGATTAGATAAACCAGTTTAATCTATTGGTAGTTAGAAGGTTATATTGATTTATACATAGTTATGTTGAGTTGTTAATTATATATAGTTATACAGTGTTATATACGATTAAATAGATTTATATATAGTTATGTAGAGATATTGATTATATATAATTTTATTTTGATATATATGGTTATAAACATTTATATATATTCTTATAGTGTAATATAAGCTTGTCATGATTTATGAATATTTATGTAGAGTTATTGATTGTATATAGTTATTTAGTAATATATACGGCTATATAGATTTATATATAGTTATGTGGAGTTTTTGATTAGATATAGTTATATAGTGTTATATATGGTTATATAGATTTATATATAGTTATTTGGAGACATTGAATATATATAGTCATAAAGTGTTATATACGGTTATATAGATTTATATAAAGTTATAAAGTTTTATTGATTACACTGAGCAACAAAAAATTTTTTGAGGAAATTTCCTAATTTTTACAACTGATTCATGATAATTTGGCACCGCTGATTCCGAAAATGATATCCGTTTCTCTAGGTCAGGTTCAGTTTTTCTGCTAAGTTAAATGTTTATTTTATTTTATTTGTGAATAAATCAGTAAAATTTTTGTGCCATAATCGGTTTATTTCTATGAACATTTCTCATTCGGAATTGGTTTCAAAGAGAAAAAAGCGTTCTGAAACACAGTACCTTAAGTAAGGGTCATTAATGTTCGTCATTGTTAAGAATTTAGGGCTGGAACTTCCGTTTATTGGATACCCTGTAATGCTCAGCATCAGGGATGTCTCTCTTTAGAGTCCAGCAGTAATCAGCCATCATGACGGCATTCCAACGTCCCTGATACTTGGTCTCCATCTCCTTCATCTCCTGGTGGAATCTTTCTCCCTGCTCGTCGCTCATTGATCCAAGATTCTCATGAAAACGATCCATATGTGAAAATAGATAATGAAGTTTGATGCTCATGTTGCATCCGAGTTTTTTGAAAGCAGTCACCATATTGTTGACAAGTTCAGCATAGTTTCTGGCCTTGTTGTTG